GTTTGAGCGTTTCCCCATGAAAGCACATGCTCTTCTTTTATTTTTCCCAGCTACTCAGCATGCCCTAAGCCCTTGTTTTTTGCATGGCTGGTTAGTGCATGCCATCTAGAGCCTGCACCGCAATTCTCAAGTCGAAAATCCAAAGGGGTGGGGAGCTATAGCATTTCAACATTTGCCCCAAGTATGAATGTTTGAGCGTTTCCCCATGAAAGCACATGCTCTTCTTTTATTTTTCCCAGCTACTCAGCATGCCCTAAGCCCTTGTTTTTTGCATGGCTGGTTAGTGCATGCCATCTAGAGCCTGCACCGCAATTCTCAAGTCGAAAATCCAAAGGGGTGGGGAGCTATAGCATTTCAACATTTGCCCCAAGTATGAATGTTTGAGCGTTTCCCCATGAAAGCACATGCTCTTCTTTTATTTTTCCCAGCTACTCAGCATGCCCTAAGCCCTTGTTTTTTGCATGGCTGGTTAGTGCATGCCATCTAGAGCCTGCACCGCAATTCTCAAGTCGAAAATCCAAAGGGGTGGGGAGCTATAGCATTTCAACATTTGCCCCAAGTATGAATGTTTGAGCGTTTCCCCATGAAAGCACATGCTCTTCTTTTATTTTTCCCAGCTACTCAGCATGCCCTAAGCCCTTGTTTTTTGCATGGCTGGTTAGTGCATGCCATCTAGAGCCTGCACCGCAATTCTCAAGTCGAAAATCCAAAGGGGTGGGGAGCTATAGCATTTCAACATTTGCCCCAAGTATGAATGTTTGAGCGTTTCCCCATGAAAGCACATGCTCTTCTTTTATTTTTCCCAGCTACTCAGCATGCCCTAAGCCCTTGTTTTTTGCATGGCTGGTTAGTGCATGCCATCTAGAGCCTGCACCGCAATTCTCAAGTCGAAAATCCAAAGGGGTGGGGAGCTATAGCATTTCAACATTTGCCCCAAGTATGAATGTTTGAGCGTTTCCCCATGAAAGCACATGCTCTTCTTTTATTTTTCCCAGCTACTCAGCATGCCCTAAGCCCTTGTTTTTTGCATGGCTGGTTAGTGCATGCCATCTAGAGCCTGCACCGCAATTCTCAAGTCGAAAATCCAAAGGGGTGGGGAGCTATAGCATTTCAACATTTGCCCCAAGTATGAATGTTTGAGCGTTTCCCCATGAAAGCACATGCTCTTCTTTTATTTTTCCCAGCTACTCAGCATGCCCTAAGCCCTTGTTTTTTGCATGGCTGGTTAGTGCATGCCATCTAGAGCCTGCACCGCAATTCTCAAGTCGAAAATCCAAAGGGGTGGGGAGCTATAGCATTTCAACATTTGCCCCAAGTATGAATGTTTGAGCGTTTCCCCATGAAAGCACATGCTCTTCTTTTATTTTTCCCAGCTACTCAGCATGCCCTAAGCCCTTGTTTTTTGCATGGCTGGTTAGTGCATGCCATCTAGAGCCTGCACCGCAATTCTCAAGTCGAAAATCCAAAGGGGTGGGGAGCTATAGCATTTCAACATTTGCCCCAAGTATGAATGTTTGAGCGTTTCCCCATGAAAGCACATGCTCTTCTTTTATTTTTCCCAGCTACTCAGCATGCCCTAAGCCCTTGTTTTTTGCATGGCTGGTTAGTGCATGCCATCTAGAGCCTGCACCGCAATTCTCAAGTCGAAAATCCAAAGGGGTGGGGAGCTATAGCATTTCAACATTTGCCCCAAGTATGAATGTTTGAGCGTTTCCCCATGAAAGCACATGCTCTTCTTTTATTTTTCCCAGCTACTCAGCATGCCCTAAGCCCTTGTTTTTTGCATGGCTGGTTAGTGCATGCCATCTAGAGCCTGCACCGCAATTCTCAAGTCGAAAATCCAAAGGGGTGGGGAGCTATAGCATTTCAACATTTGCCCCAAGTATGAATGTTTGAGCGTTTCCCCATGAAAGCACATGCTCTTCTTTTATTTTTCCCAGCTACTCAGCATGCCCTAAGCCCTTGTTTTTTGCATGGCTGGTTAGTGCATGCCATCTAGAGCCTGCACCGCAATTCTCAAGTCGAAAATCCAAAGGGGTGGGGAGCTATAGCATTTCAACATTTGCCCCAAGTATGAATGTTTGAGCGTTTCCCCATGAAAGCACATGCTCTTCTTTTATTTTTCCCAGCTACTCAGCATGCCCTAAGCCCTTGTTTTTTGCATGGCTGGTTAGTGCATGCCATCTAGAGCCTGCACCGCAATTCTCAAGTCGAAAATCCAAAGGGGTGGGGAGCTATAGCATTTCAACATTTGCCCCAAGTATGAATGTTTGAGCGTTTCCCCATGAAAGCACATGCTCTTCTTTTATTTTTCCCAGCTACTCAGCATGCCCTAAGCCCTTGTTTTTTGCATGGCTGGTTAGTGCATGCCATCTAGAGCCTGCACCGCAATTCTCAAGTCGAAAATCCAAAGGGGTGGGGAGCTATAGCATTTCAACATTTGCCCCAAGTATGAATGTTTGAGCGTTTCCCCATGAAAGCACATGCTCTTCTTTTATTTTTCCCAGCTACTCAGCATGCCCTAAGCCCTTGTTTTTTGCATGGCTGGTTAGTGCATGCCATCTAGAGCCTGCACCGCAATTCTCAAGTCGAAAATCCAAAGGGGTGGGGAGCTATAGCATTTCAACATTTGCCCCAAGTATGAATGTTTGAGCGTTTCCCCATGAAAGCACATGCTCTTCTTTTATTTTTCCCAGCTACTCAGCATGCCCTAAGCCCTTGTTTTTTGCATGGCTGGTTAGTGCATGCCATCTAGAGCCTGCACCGCAATTCTCAAGTCGAAAATCCAAAGGGGTGGGGAGCTATAGCATTTCAACATTTGCCCCAAGTATGAATGTTTGAGCGTTTCCCCATGAAAGCACATGCTCTTCTTTTATTTTTCCCAGCTACTCAGCATGCCCTAAGCCCTTGTTTTTTGCATGGCTGGTTAGTGCATGCCATCTAGAGCCTGCACCGCAATTCTCAAGTCGAAAATCCAAAGGGGTGGGGAGCTATAGCATTTCAACATTTGCCCCAAGTATGAATGTTTGAGCGTTTCCCCATGAAAGCACATGCTCTTCTTTTATTTTTCCCAGCTACTCAGCATGCCCTAAGCCCTTGTTTTTTGCATGGCTGGTTAGTGCATGCCATCTAGAGCCTGCACCGCAATTCTCAAGTCGAAAATCCAAAGGGGTGGGGAGCTATAGCATTTCAACATTTGCCCCAAGTATGAATGTTTGAGCGTTTCCCCATGAAAGCACATGCTCTTCTTTTATTTTTCCCAGCTACTCAGCATGCCCTAAGCCCTTGTTTTTTGCATGGCTGGTTAGTGCATGCCATCTAGAGCCTGCACCGCAATTCTCAAGTCGAAAATCCAAAGGGGTGGGGAGCTATAGCATTTCAACATTTGCCCCAAGTATGAATGTTTGAGCGTTTCCCCATGAAAGCACATGCTCTTCTTTTATTTTTCCCAGCTACTCAGCATGCCCTAAGCCCTTGTTTTTTGCATGGCTGGTTAGTGCATGCCATCTAGAGCCTGCACCGCAATTCTCAAGTCGAAAATCCAAAGGGGTGGGGAGCTATAGCATTTCAACATTTGCCCCAAGTATGAATGTTTGAGCGTTTCCCCATGAAAGCACATGCTCTTCTTTTATTTTTCCCAGCTACTCAGCATGCCCTAAGCCCTTGTTTTTTGCATGGCTGGTTAGTGCATGCCATCTAGAGCCTGCACCGCAATTCTCAAGTCGAAAATCCAAAGGGGTGGGGAGCTATAGCATTTCAACATTTGCCCCAAGTATGAATGTTTGAGCGTTTCCCCATGAAAGCACATGCTCTTCTTTTATTTTTCCCAGCTACTCAGCATGCCCTAAGCCCTTGTTTTTTGCATGGCTGGTTAGTGCATGCCATCTAGAGCCTGCACCGCAATTCTCAAGTCGAAAATCCAAAGGGGTGGGGAGCTATAGCATTTCAACATTTGCCCCAAGTATGAATGTTTGAGCGTTTCCCCATGAAAGCACATGCTCTTCTTTTATTTTTCCCAGCTACTCAGCATGCCCTAAGCCCTTGTTTTTTGCATGGCTGGTTAGTGCATGCCATCTAGAGCCTGCACCGCAATTCTCAAGTCGAAAATCCAAAGGGGTGGGGAGCTATAGCATTTCAACATTTGCCCCAAGTATGAATGTTTGAGCGTTTCCCCATGAAAGCACATGCTCTTCTTTTATTTTTCCCAGCTACTCAGCATGCCCTAAGCCCTTGTTTTTTGCATGGCTGGTTAGTGCATGCCATCTAGAGCCTGCACCGCAATTCTCAAGTCGAAAATCCAAAGGGGTGGGGAGCTATAGCATTTCAACATTTGCCCCAAGTATGAATGTTTGAGCGTTTCCCCATGAAAGCACATGCTCTTCTTTTATTTTTCCCAGCTACTCAGCATGCCCTAAGCCCTTGTTTTTTGCATGGCTGGTTAGTGCATGCCATCTAGAGCCTGCACCGCAATTCTCAAGTCGAAAATCCAAAGGGGTGGGGAGCTATAGCATTTCAACATTTGCCCCAAGTATGAATGTTTGAGCGTTTCCCCATGAAAGCACATGCTCTTCTTTTATTTTTCCCAGCTACTCAGCATGCCCTAAGCCCTTGTTTTTTGCATGGCTGGTTAGTGCATGCCATCTAGAGCCTGCACCGCAATTCTCAAGTCGAAAATCCAAAGGGGTGGGGAGCTATAGCATTTCAACATTTGCCCCAAGTATGAATGTTTGAGCGTTTCCCCATGAAAGCACATGCTCTTCTTTTATTTTTCCCAGCTACTCAGCATGCCCTATGTTGTGTGATGTCATCATATGCTATCACATTCTGTCTGCCTCCCATCCCATGTTTTTCAACTTGCATGTGTGGTTTGAATGTGCAAGAATTTGTGTGTGGTGTGTTCTGGAGTTTGGGAATGTGTTTTGTGTTATTCTGTCTGAGCAGGTATTTGTGATGATAGATCTTGAGAAGATCTTTCCGACGCAACAAGAATCGCTTCAATCGGAGCAAGAACGCGAAAGCTATGAAGATTCAAAGTTCATGAGCTTGCGTTACAATTGCGGCGGTTACAAGTGAAGTTGTGGGGTGACTCTATATGGAGTTGGGACCTTTGGGGTTGGGGAAATTTGTCACTCTACTGTAACAGCTGCAAATTGGTTGGGAACAACCAAGCTAGGTTGGCAAGGGTGGCCAACTTGGATGGATTGGTTGGGAAGGGACAAATGTCAAAGTTGAGGTTCCTATAGGGAGGGAATCTTTGTGCTTATGGGGTTTCCTTGGTTGGGGACTCTCTTGGGACCTTCCCTCTCATCCCTCTCTTCCTATCCCAACCTTTCTCTTGCTCCTTCTAATTCCTTGTGAGATTCTTGAACTTTGATTGAACTCTTGAGATTGAGTTAAGTTCTCCTCCTACAGCTTACCCCCTAGTGCGTCGAAAGCCATAGCGTCGCGAATACTTCATCAATCAACGTGATTCAAATTGGGAACGGTAGCTGAGATTAAGAGCTACAACATATCCAAGTTTCGCGACATTCCAACGGCTAGTTTTTGTCGACGTCGTTTCTTGTGAAGACGACTTTTCTGTCCAGAATTTCGGATTTATATTTTGAGTAATTCTAGCTCCTAAGTTCACCTAGACTCCGTCCTTAATCCTAACAAGTGGTATCAGAGCGATATTAAGGACATTGAGAGGAGTCTACAGAAGTGTGAAGACCCTTCTAGACCCACCATGGCCTGTGGGTGTGCCTAAGTGGTGTTCTAAAGGTTGGATGTGTCTTCCGCTAAGGGGAAACTCTGCCGAAATTTCGTGGACGCCGACACTTGTGAAAATATCGAGGGAGCTGAGTGTGGACAGCAAAGGGGAGCTGAAATTCGTCATTTCTCAAGGAGAAGATGAATGAGAGAGGAGGAGATGCTAATGGAAGAGGAGCTGTAGCTGAGAAGACAAGTGAGCCGCCGCCATCAAAAGTTGAAGCTTTGGATGGCTCCAACTATGAGGAATGGAGCGGACGGATGAGGAGTGCCTTCAAACGCTACAAGCTACTGAAGATTGCTGTTGGGGAAGAGAAGATGCCGGAAGAAGGCGAAGCACGTGAACGGTGGATTGAGAAAAGCGCGGTGCTTTTCGACCTCATTCTTCAATCGGTCAACAAGGAGATGTTCGAGCACATCAAGGATCTTGTGGAAGCGGATGATTCGGGTCCAAGGGCGTGGAAACTACTACGCGATGTGATTCAGCCCAACACTCTCCGATGGTGATCGTGCTCGAGAAGGAACTTGCTGCCATCTCCATGCGACCAGGGGACGATGTGAAGCCGGTCCTTGACAAGATCAAGGACACCTATGCAAGGATGGCAGCAGCGGGCAGCAGTGTATCTCAGCTGCAGCAGTGCACCAAGATCATCTCGGTGTTGGACAACTCTTGGGACAACCTCATCCCCACCCTCAACTCTCAGCAAGATCAATGGACACCTGAGTGGCTAAGGCAGCAGATTCTGCAGGAGGACTTCCGCAGACGCCATGTGGGAGGCGGTGCTGCCACTAAGACTGCTGAGGGGTATGGAGCTGCAGGGCGCGGCAGAGGAAGAGGGGGTTGGAGAGGCCGAGGCCGTGGGAGGAGCTTTGGCAGAGGTAGAGGCCGAGGTGACTATAATGAGGGGCATGGGAGCTCCAGTGGCAGGGGGAGTACCAGAATGGAGGGCACCTGCTGGTACTGCAAGAAGGTGGGCATCCTTGGTTCAAGTGCTTCAGCAGGCCGGAGGGATGGGCACCTCCAGGCATGAAGCCGCCAGTGGTGAACGCGCACAAGGTGGCGCTGTGCAAGGCTCAGGTGCACAAGGTGAAGGTGCACAAGGTAATGCCTATCCTGGTTTGTTTCTTATGGTTGAGGATGTGCATGGGCATGAGGGTGATGTGGGATCTGTGGGAAAGGTTGTGATGCACCCTCTCACGCACTGGGTGATTGATTCGGGTTGCACCAGTCACATGACCCCACGGGCAGATTTGCTTGATGAGGTAAAACCCCCTGGGAAGATTAAGTATGTGGCAGCAGCGTCAGGTGCTTTGCTCCCGTGATTGGTGTTGGGAATGCCAAGGTTAAGGGAGCTAATGGGGAGCTTGTGGGGCTTGGGAATGTTCTGCTGGTTAAAGGCTTGTCTGCTAACCTTCTCTCTGTGCGGCGACTGCAGAAGAGTAAGGCCGAAGTGACCTTTGGACCAACCAGCTGCCGTGCTAAGCTTGGGAAGAAGGTGCTGTGGAGTCTGGAAGAGGAGACCAGCTGCATCAAGGACCTGTGGCAGCTGCCCATCATCCCTTGGAATGGGAAGACTCCAACAGCAGCAACGGCAGCAGCGGCAAAGGCAACAGCAGGAGGAGATGCAACTGCACCAACTGATGGGGTCCTGGAAGCAGTCAAGAAAGTGCAGCAGCAGCAGACACATGGTGAGGTGCTTGCTGGTGTGGATGCGAGTGCGGCATGGGCTAAGGCTTCATCAAGGAGTGGAGAGGCCGATTGGGAGACATGGCATGAGAGGCTGTGTCATGTGAACTTCCCTATGCTGCAGAAGTTGGTGAAGGATGGGAGCCTGAAGGGCTTGGAGGTGAAAGGGGAGTGAAGGAGATTGGGAGCTGCCCTACATGCTTGGAGACCAAGTTCTCCAAGTTCCCCTTCAACAGCACTACAGGACCAGCCAAGACCCCACTTGCACTTGTGCACATGGATGTGGTGGGGCCCACAAGAGCCCCTTCCCTCTCAGGCAGCCGCTATTTCTTGACAATTGTGGATGACCACACTCGGGCAGTGTGGGTTTACCCTTTGAAGAGCAAGGGGGAGGTGGCAGCGGCTGTCCTTAAGGAGTGGATGCCTAGAGCTCAGAGGGAATGCGGACACAAGGTGAAGGTGATCCGCAGTGACAATGGTGGGGAGTTCATTGGAGCTGATTTTGAGGGGGAGTTGAAGAGGAAGGGGATCCAGCATCAACTGACAGTGCCCTACAACCCGCAGCAGAATGGCGTGGCTGAGAGGTTCAACAGGACCCTGCAGGAGGGGGCACGCACTCTCCTTGGGCGTGCAGGGCTGCCTGATCCGTTTTGGGTGTCTGCACTGAGGCAGGTCGCCCTTGTGAAGAACAGGGTGCTGGCTACAGTTGGAGATAAGGAGTGGATCCCATATACAAGTGGTATGGGAGTGCTCCAGCTGTGAACATGCTGAGGGCATTTGGGTGCATGGTGGTGTTTCATGTGCCTAAGGAGAAAAGGGGGAAGTTGGAGGCTTCTGGAAGATGGGGTGTGCACTTGGGGATTGCAAAGGATCACAAGGGTGGCTGCTATGGGACTTGACCACCCAGAAGTTGACAGTGTCAAGGGATGTGAAGTTTCTTGAGTCCCTGTACTACAAGGAATGGAAGCAGCAGCAACAGAAGCTTCCATCTACACCGCTCATTGTGGAGGCAGATGAGGTGCAGCAGCCTTCAAGACAGGTGGAGGTTGCAGTGTCAGAGGAGGAGATGTCTGGGGTGACTGAGGAAGGGGGAGCAGCTGAAGTAGAGCAGCAGCAGCAGCAGCAGCATGAGTCTCCACCTCGAGTTCCACACCCGCCTGAGCGTCCTAGGAGGGATGTGCGCCCTCCAGTGAGGCTGACCTATGGGGGAAGAGGCAAGCCGAATGTGGTGCAGGCTGGGAGTGTGGTTGAGCAGATTGAGGAAGATGAGATCGCTCACTGCTACTGGGCACCAATCCCTGAGCCCAAGACTCGAGAGGAGGCCTTGAATGGACCAAATGGGGAGAAGTGGAAGGCGAGTGAGGATGAGGAGTTCGGGTCCCTAATTGAGAACGAGACATGGGACCTGTGTGACTTGCCTCCTGGAAAGAAGGCAATCACTTCCAAGATGATCTACAGGCACAAGTATGGACCTGAAGGGGAGCTGACCCGCTACAAGTCTAGGCTTGTGGCACGGGGGTTTCAGCAGACAAAGGGGAAGGACTATGATGAGGTGTTTGCTCCTGTGGGGAAAGGAACAACACTGAGGGTGCTGTTGGCGATAGCTGCACTCCTGGGATGGAAGATTCGGCAGATGGATATTGTGACTGCCTTTCTGAATGGGATCATTATGGAGGAGGTGTACATGAAGCAGCCAGAGGGGCTGGATGACGGGAGCGGCAGGGTCTGCAGGCTGAAGAAGGCCATCTATGGCCTTAAGCAGGCGCCTCGTGCATGGTATCACAAGTTGGAGGAGGCGCTGTTGGCTGGGGGTTTCAAGAAGAGTGAGTGTGACCCCAGCCTGTTCCTGCTGCAGGAGAAGGATGAAATCCTCATGCTCTTGGTGTATGTGGATGATATCCTTCTCTTTTCTGCATCCACTGCTTTGCTGGACAGCGCAGAGCAGATGCTGGAGATGCAGTTCAAGTGCTCCAAGATGGGTGAGGTGAAGTACTACTTGGGGATGCACGTGGAGAGAGATGTGGAAAAGGGTGTGCTGAGGTTGCACCAGAGGAAGTACTGTGAGGGGCTGGCTGAGAAGTATGGGCTGCAAGATGGGGGAAAGCCAGCAACACCACTACCTTCAGGGTTTACTGTGGAGCCATGTGCTGATGAGGAGGTAGTGGGTGAGAGTGACAGGAAGCTGTTTCATTCGATGGTTGGGTCGCTGAATTATGCTGCAAATCATACACGGCCTGACATTGCATTTTCTACATCACGGTTGGCTAGTGTGGTCTCACGCCCTAGTCATGAGCAGCTGGAAGCGGCCAAGAGGTTGGTCCGCTATGTGAGTGCTACGGCATCAGTGGGATTGGAGTACAGTGGAGTGAGGCAGCGGTTGCAGAGAGGTGCTGCAGATGTGAAGAGTGGAGAGATGCTCTTGAGTTGCTATACTGACGCTAGCTTCAACTCAGTGAAAGCGGATGGCACCAGCATTGGGGGTTATGTGTGCTTGCTGGGAGGTGGTGCTGTGAGCTGGCGCAGCAAGAAGCAAAATGAGGTGGGATTGTCCTCATGTGAGACTGAGTACATGGCCTTACACCATGGGGCCAAGGAAGTGGTATGGCTGAGGCGTTTGTTGGAGGAGTTGGGAGTTGGTCAGGAGGAGCCGACAGTTGTGTTCTGTGACAATGAGTCTGCAGTGAAGCTGGCCAAGAATGCTTGTCTGCATGGGCTGACAAAACACATAAGGCCTAAGTGGCATTGGGTGAGGAGACTCCTTGATAAGGAGGTGCGGCTGGAGATAGTGAAAACCCATCAGCAGGCAGCAGATATTTTCACTAAGCGTCTGGCGGAGGCGGATCATTGGAAAGGCATGAAGCTTGCTGGAATGAGTGTGCATTGAGTATGCATGCTTGAGATGTTGGTATGGTGGTTGATGGTTGGCAGCCAGAGGGGGAGATTGTTGTGTGATGTCATCATATGCTATCACATTCTGTCTGCCTCCCATCCCATGTTTTCAACTTGCATGTGTGGTTTGAATGTGAAAGAATTTGTGTGTGGTGTGTTCTGGAGTTTGGGAATGTGTTTTGTGTTATTCTGTCTGAGCAGGTATTTGTGATGATAGATCTTGAGAAGATCTTTCCGACGCAACAAGAATCGCTTCAATCGGAGCAAGAACGCGAAAGCTATGAAGATTCAAAGTTCATGAGCTTGCGTTACAATTGCGGCGGTTACAAAGTGAAGTTGTGGGGTGACTCATATGGAGTTGGGACCTTTGGGGTTGGGGAAATTTGTCACTCTACTGTAACAGCTGCAAATAGGTTGGGAACAACCAAGCTAGGTTGGCAAGGGTGGCCAACTTGGATGGATTGGTTGGGAAGGGACAAAGGTCAAAGTTGAGGTTCCTATAGGGAGGGAATCTTTGTGCTTATGGGGTTTCCTTGGTTGGGGACTCTCTTGGGACCTTCCCTCTCATCCATCTCTTCCTATCCCAACCTTTCTCTTGCTCCTTCTAATTCCTTGTGAGATTCTTGAATTTGATTGAACTCTTGAGATTGAGTTAAGTTCTCCTCCTACAGCTTACCCCCTAGTGCGTCGAAAGCCATAGCGTCGCGAATACTTCATCAATCAACATGATTCAAATTGGGAACGGTAGCTGAGATTAGGAGCTACAACATATCCAAGTTTCGCGACATCCAACGGCTGGTTTTTTGTCGACGTCGTTTCTTGTGAAGACGACTTTTCTGTCCAGAATTTCGGATTTATATTTTGAGTAATTCTAGCTCCTAAGTTCACCTAGACTCCGTCCTTAATCATAACACGCAATTCTCAAGTCGAAAATCCAAAGGGGTGGGGAGCTATAGCATTTCATCATTTGCCCCAAGTATGAATGTTTGAGCGTTTCCCCATGAAAGCACATGCTCTTCTTTTATTTTTCCCAGCTACTCAGCATGCCCTAAGCCCTTGTTTTTTGCATGGCTGGTTAGTGCATGCCATCTAGAGCCTGCACCGCTATTCTCAAGTCAAAAATCCAAAGGGGTGGGGAGCTATAGCATTTCAACATTTGCCCCAAGTATGAATGTTTGAGCGTTTCCCCATGAAAGCACATGCTCTTCTTTTATTTTTCCCAGCTACTCAGCATGCCCTAAGCCCTTGTTTTTCACATGGCTGGTTAGTGCATGCCATCTAGAGCCTGCACCGCAATTCTCAAGTCGAAAATCCAAAGGGGTGGGGAGCTATAGCATTTCAACGTTTGCCCCAAGTATGAATGTTTGAGCGTTTCCCCATGAAAGCACATGCTCTTCTTTTATTTTTCCCAGCTACTCAGCATGCCCTAAGCCCTTGTTTTTTGCATGGCTGGTTAGTGTATGCGATCTAGAGCCTGCACCGCAATTCTCAAGTCGAAAATCCAAAGGGGTGGGGAGCTATAGCATTTCAACGTTTGCCCCAAGTATGAATGTTTGAGCGTTTCCCCATGAAAGCACATGCTCTTCTTATATTTTTCCCAGCTACTCTGCATGCCCTAAGCCCTTGTTTTTTGCATGGCTAGTTAGTGCATGCGATCTAGAGCCTGCACCGTACTTCTCAAGTCGAAAATCCAAAGGGGTGGGGAGCTATGGTATTTCAACATTTGCCCCAAGTATGAATGTTTGAGCGTTTCCCCATGAAAGCACATGCTCTTCTTTTATTTTTTCCAGCTACTCAGCATGCCCTAAGCCCTTGTTTTTTGCATGGCTGGTTAGTGCATGCGATCTAGAGCCTGCACCGCCATTCTCAAGTCGAAAATCCAAAGGGGTGGGGAGCTATAGCATTTCAACATTTGCCCCAAGTATGAATGTTTGAGCGTTTCCCCATGAAAGCACATGCTCTTCTTTTATTTTTCCCAGCTACTCAGCATGCCCTAAGCCCTTGTTTTTTGCATGGCTTTGCATGTGATCTAGAGCCTGCACCGTAATTCTCAAGTCGAAAATCCAAAGGGGTGGGGAGCTATAGAATTTCAACATTTGCCCCAAGTATGCATGTTTGAGCGTTTCCCCATGAAAGCACATGCACTTCTTTTATTTTTTCCAGCTACTCAGCATGCCCTAAGCCCTTGTTTTTTGCATGGCTGGTTAGTGCATGCGATCTAGAGCCTGCACCGCTATTCTCAAGTCAAAAATCCAAAGGGGTGGGGAGCTATAGCATTTCAACATTTGCCCCAAGTATGAATGTTTGAGCGTTTCCCCATGAAAGCACATGCTCTTCTTTTATTTTTCCCAGCTACTCAGCATGCCCTAAGCCCTTGTTTTTCACATGGCTGGTTAGTGCATGCCATCTAGAGCCTGCACCGCAATTCTCAAGTCGAAAATCCAAAGGGGTGGGGAGCTATAGCATTTCAACGTTTGCCCCAAGTATGAATGTTTGAGCGTTTCCCCATGAAAGCACATGCTCTTCTTTTATTTTTCCCAGCTACTCAGCATGCCCTAAGCCCTTGTTTTTTGCATGGCTGGTTAGTGTATGCGATCTAGAGCCTGCACCGCAATTCTCAAGTCGAAAATCCAAAGGGGTGGGGAGCTATAGCATTTCAACGTTTGCCCCAAGTATGAATGTTTGAGCGTTTCCCCATGAAAGCACATGCTCTTCTTATATTTTTCCCAGCTACTCTGCATGCCCTAAGCCCTTGTTTTTTGCATGGCTAGTTAGTGCATGCGATCTAGAGCCTGCACCGTACTTCTCAAGTCGAAAATCCAAAGGGGTGGGGAGCTATGGTATTTCAACATTTGCCCCAAGTATGAATGTTTGAGCGTTTCCCCATGAAAGCACATGCTCTTCTTTTATTTTTCCCAGCTACTCAGCATGCCCTAAGCCCTTGTTTTTTGCATGGCTGGTTAGTGCATGCGATCTAGAGCCTGCAGCGCCATTCTCAAGTCGAAAATCCAAAGGGGTGGGGAGCTATAGCATTTCAACATTTGCCCCAAGTATGAATGTTTGAGCGTTTCCCCATGAAAGCACATGCTCTTCTTTTATTTTTCCCAGCTACTCAGCATGCCCTAAGCCCTTGTTTTTTGCATGGCTTTGCATGTGATCTAGAGCCTGCACCGTAATTCTCAAGTCGAAAATCCAAAGGGGTGGGGAGCTATAGCATTTCAACATTTGCCCCAAGTATGCATGTTTGAGCGTTTCCCCATGAAAGCACATGCACTTCTTTTATTTTTTCCAGCTACTCAGCATACCCTAAGCCCTTGTTTTTTGCATGGCTGGTTAGTGCATGCGATCTAGAGCCTGCACCGCTATTCTCAAGTCAAAATCCAAAGGGGTGGGGAGCTATAGCATTTCAACATTTGCCCCAAGTATGAATGTTTGAGCGTTTCCCCATGAAAGCACATGCTCTTCTTTTATTTTTCCCAGCTACTCAGCATGCCCTAAGCCCTTGTTTTTTGCATGGCTGGTTAGTGTATGCGATCTAGAGCCTGCACCGCAATTCTCAAGTCGAAAATCCAAAGGGGTGGGGAGCTATAGCATTTCAACATTTGCCCCAAGTATGAATGTTTGAGCGTTTCCCCATGAAAGTACATGCTCTTCTTTTATTTTTCCCAGCTACTCAGCATGCCCTAAGCCCTTGTTTTTTGCATGGCTTTGCATGTGATCTAGAGCCTGCACCGTAATTCTCAAGTCGAAAATCCAAAGGGGTGGGGAGCTATAGCATTTCAACATTTGCCCCAAGTATGCATGTTTGAGCGTTTCCCCATGAAAGCACATGCACTTCTTTTATTTTTTCCAGCTACTCAGCATGCCCTAAGCCCTTGTTTTTTGCATGGCTGGTTAGTGCATGCGATCTAGAGCCTGCACCGCTATTCTCAAGTCGAAAATCCAAAGGGGTGGGGAGCTATAGCATTTCAACATTTGCCCCAAGTATGAATGTTTGAGCGTTTCCCCATGAAAGCACATGCTCTTCTTTTATTTTTCCCAACTACTCAGCATGCCCTAAGCCCTTGTTTTTTGCATGGCTGGTTAGTGCATGCCATCTAGAGCCTGCACCGCAATTCTCAAGTCGAAAATCCAAAGGGGTGGGGAGCTATAGCATTTCAACGTTTGCCCCAAGTATGAATGTTTGAGCGTTTCCCCATGAAAGCACATGCTCTTCTTTTATTTTTTCCCAGCTACTCAGCATGCCCTAAGCCCTTGTTTTTTGCATGGCTGGTTAGTGCATGCCATCTAGAGCCTGCACCGCAATTCTCAAGTCGAAAATCCAAAGGGGTGGGGAGCTATAGCATTTCAACGTTTGCCCCAAGTATGAATGTTTGAGCGTTTCCCCATGAAAGCACATGCTCTTCTTTTATTTTTCCAGCT